GAACCTGGAATTTCCTTTTCCCACCAAAATGGTGGGAAAAGGAATTCCCTAAAATTAAGGAAAATGGGCGCGTGGGGTGGGAGAGGGAAAACTTTTTCTAAGCAAAATTTAAGCCATCAAACATGGCTTAAGGGTGGAAAAGGAATTTTTTTTCCATTTTCCAAGGAAAATGTTCGCTATCAAACAAAGCCTACAATTTGCTTTTTCAGAGGAAATGTTACGAGGTAATTATGAGTCAGTGTTATGACCGTGTTTGTGAACCTGCTTACACGGAAGGGAAGGAATTAAAATTGGCAAATGGTGCATTGTTCCTCTTATTTGATGCAGGTAATTTCAAGAGAGAAAAAGGAGGGTCTTTGAGGGGCACCTGCTTTTGAGCTTACATTTTACTTTTTAGATTTATGTTTTTGGTGGGGGCGTGGAAGAATCAATCCCATATTATAATTCAATGTTCTAATTTCAGAGTACAATGAAAAACTGCTATCCCGAATGAGCAGCAATATGTTAGAAGAGTTGAAATTACATCAGTAGTTTGAATTAGTAAGAGCATCTCCAACCCATCCCCACTGCACCATAATTCACCAAATTGCACCAAATTTTTGGGGCAAATCTCCTCCAACCCATTGCACCATTTTGCACCAAAATGGTTAAATACCTTTTTACCAACCCATTGCACCAATTTGCACCAATTTTTGTTAAGGGCATGTTTGTGATTCGAAACGTATTACACTCTTTTTTAATATTATGATTTAATATTTTCTTAGTTGTATTTCTATTAGTTGTACTACATTTTTTAAATTTATTAATGAATTCAATATTTGTGTTAATTAAACGTAATTATTTATTTAATAATTTATGTAGTAATAAAATAAAAAAAATTTCGGATAAATAAATTGTTAAGAATTTAAAAAATGAAGAAAATTATTAAACACTATTCATTTGGGGCAACTTTTGGTGTCCCCCCCTTTTGGGGAAATGTGTTTTGAAATATTGATTTTTTAGAGAATGTGTAATTAAAAAATAGAGATAAGTTTTGGGTTTATGTGTGAAATTATTTTATGGGAGAATGTATGATTAAAAATGAGTTTTTGAAAAAATGAGGCTCAAACAGGGGCCTAACATTTTTGCAACAGTAAACAAACCATACAGTGTAACAAAACCAAATCCCTTTGGGGTGATGAGCAATTAAGTTTCCAGCAGAAAATTAATAATACTGGCGTTTGAGTTATATAGCATCCAACAGAACTCCTACCCCTCCACACACACCCTCCAAAGAACATTGTAAACAAAGATAAGAAATTATTTACCTAATAAAGTGATTGCAGTAAACTAAGAATGCAAAAACGAATGTCTATACAGATATCAATGAAATGAGTATTCATAAAAATAATATACAAGCAAATGTACAAACGCTACCTTCCGTTGTCCAATCTGATCAAGTTCACAGCTCCTTCATCAGTGCCAGTGTAATAACTACCTTTTACTAGCTTACATGGAAGGTTGATCCTATCAGCAAGTACCTAGCATCCAACATCAAGATCATTAGATAATTGGAAGTTAATTTTCTGGATAAGATCAAAACTCTCACTTCTACAGGTCATACAGAAAAGAAAGTATAAATGGACGTTATAGGTTTGAGCGAAAGATGTACAGGTACGATTCCCACTTGGGTCCCCTAATTTTCTAGGTAAATGGGTCGCAAAAAATGTAGTCTTGCAGCATCTGACGTTTTTCATATATAACAGGTCTTAAGTCATATGAAAAGAAAATTTTGCTGATGGTCAAATAACAAATTACAAAGAAAAAGACGATATAAAGAAAGAAAGAAAACTTCTACTCTTTAACATACTCTCTCTTTCTCCAAACCCAAAATTCTCCTTCTGGTCCTTTCACCCTATTGTGAATCAAATGAGAATTCAACATAGGGGAAGGTGCTGTCTTCAATGCTTTCCATCAATATCTCGTTGAAATCAAACAGCTTCAGGATAGTTATATCAGCTTCTTCCAGCTGGCACTTCGGGTCTCCCATTCAAAAACAGCTTTGCCCTCTTTTGAACTTCTCATTAATTTCGAGTTTTCACTTCAAGTCTTTGAACAGTAATTTCTGGACATCTGAGTTAAGATTAAAAGATCTTTCTTTTATTCCCTTCTTGGAGAGGATCAGTAGATCTTTTAGAGATTTCTAAACCTGTCCACATTCAAGTCCCTCTTAATCAGTACATCTGAACTAGGGCACTCATCTTTGTGTTTCTTTATTCATTTAAACTAATGAAGATTAGTATTTTTATCAGTAGATGGTGAAATTATCTATGAACTGCAAACAGCAAGATTAAGTACGCAGTTTCCATAATTGATACTTCTAAGATTTTATTACCAGTTTCAACCTACTCTCCTAACTTTCAGATGTCTGTTCAAGCATGAGTCAGAAGTTCATTTTCTGCCTTAATAGATTCAGATACTAGCTCTAAAATTTCTACAAGATTGGCTGCTCTAACTCCTCAACTAGCTTCACGCAGCTTCCCACTTCGAATCCAGATCAGAGTATTCCTGAACCAGGAGCTTCTTTATCTCAACCGGGGGATGAATGGAGGTCGACTGGACGTCAGGGGATGGGTGGTGGGGATATGGGAGTTTGTTTTCCTCATTTTAAACAAAAAATGAAAAAAAAATGCTTGATTTATTTCTTGTTCGTTGCACATGAAGCATAATTTTCCACTCCAGGTATTTAATGTATATTTTGGATGGAAAAAGTCAGAAGGTTCCTCTCTACAAAAATACAATATCGAGGACTTGTTGGCCAAGAAACTAAAATAGAGACCAAGTGCAATTGACCCCAAAGGACAGGGAATGGCTGCAATGCTCCACAATATTTGTTGCATAATAAATAAGGTACTAGTTTAATCATATATAATATATTGCAAAGAAGGCACTTATTTATCCATAACAGATACTAAATTTTAGCTATCTAGATTGAATATTTTAACCGCAAAATGAAAACAAAGTCAATATAGGATAATCAGACGATTAAGCCCCCATTTGAACCCCGCATTATCTAAAAACTCATTTTTATCCAAACCCATTTTCAACCCCCATAGAATAATTTTACACATAAACCCAAAACCTTTTCCTACTATTTTAATCACATGTTCTCCAAAAAAAGAATCACTATTACAAAATCTATTTCCTAAAAAATAAGGCTCAAACATATCCTAATTGTCATTAAACTCATGCGAATACCTTATCCACATTAGTTTAAACAGATAAGCGCGAGGAAAGGGGGAAGCATTCAGAACCTTAAAGAGCAAAGCTCTCTGTCGTGAATCTCCAACATCAAGATGCCCAAGGAGAAGGATGATTGTATTCAGAAAGATTTTAAAGTCATATTACCTCGCTTTCCACATTTTAAACATTTCTTCCGTGTTTCCACAACATAACACCTTGCTCTCCACCTTTTCAACATTTCTTCAGCATCATTAACAGGACCTCCCATTCTGTCAACAATAATGTCAGCAATTTTTTGAACTAAATAACTTGTACCCCTTTCCAGAGCTAGGCCCTCCACGGAAATGAAGTAAGCTTTTTCCTCAAGTTCCCGCAGTTCTGTGTCAAGTGTGCGGTTCACTAAAACAACCTTAGAACCAACGTGATCCAAAACAGAAAATAATTGAAGGTCTACCAGCGATGGCATTTTTGATTGGGACAGCAAATTCGAATCAATTCCACAAACATCATAGAACCCGTCAATTACTTTCTCATCATAATTTATGGCATTGTAGCTCTGCATGCACAAAGGAAAAAAAAAAAAAAGAATCTTCTTTAAGTCGTTGAGCTAACATCTTAACAAGTAAATGACAAAAAGAACAAATTACCAACACCTTAATATGAAATCCTTTCCTTTTTTTTCTTTTATGGTGAGAGTTGGTTAACAGAAGAGTGTGCAATAAAGCAATTAATACAAGCTTAAGTAAAAATGATATTATGTAATTTATAAGCTTCCATTATATAGATAAAACAGGAAACACTGTCAAGTTACCATAGTCTACATATTGTTTAGACGAGATATTCAATATAAATGCAATAAATAAAAAGAAGAAACTATGTTGTCAAGAAGAAAAAATACTATCTTGTGCTATTCCATTTGCAACCAGCATTTAGTTGGATGTTTGGAACAAACGAATCTTACTTAATGTTTGGACACTCGACATGTTGGGTTGGTGAAGTCTTTTTCTACACACGCAGACAACTCATACACCTAAAATCAGCATCTACACCCAAGATTATTTACCTCCTGTGCCTATAGCGAACTCTGTCCTTAAAGAGAACTTCGTCAATGATAGAATTTTGATAAATGAAGTAAAATAAAGGAAATAGAAGCAGTTGTCTAATGACTAGTCATCATTGCAGCGAGTTTGGCTCCCATTTTTACAGAGAAACCAGACATCAGAAGAAAAGCTTCAGATCAAATTATGCTAAATTTCCATTGAACTCTTTAATGAGCCATTGCAGATGACACACTCCACATCCACTTTGTGAAAATCCTCTGTTTCTATTAGATTTTGCTGTTCAGGTGATTGGGTTCATATTAACCACTTATTAAATAAAAAGGATCTTTGTGGAATATTTTAGGGTAAATTGTGGCCACCACATATGCAACCTCTACACCCTTTGGCAGACCTACCCCCAACCTTGTTTCTGGGCACTTCAATCGTCAATCTTTCATAAATTAGCGGCCATCATCCTTCCGTCTAAGAGCTCTGTTAAACTGTTCTAAAATGGCAATGATGCACAAAAACTCATATAAGATGACAAAGGCAATATAAATGCAAATTAAAGAAAAAAAACTGAAAAAGGCAAAAGGAAAGAAAACTTTGTCTTCCTCAGCTAGGTTTTTGCATTGGAATGTAAAGAAACACATTTTAATTTTATTGAAGAGAAGTGACTCCTATGTACAGCTATCTTCGACTAAGATGATCCTCCATTTTCACAGTAAGCGACAAACAGAAGCCCAGAAAAACTCACTTCTTTTTCAGATTTCTTCATTTTATTTGTTCTTTGTTTCATGTTAGATTTAATGTTTTCGTTTGATGATTTTAAAGTTGTTTAGACTATGCTTTAGTTTAATGAAATCCTCATGTTATGGAATTCAGAATGAGGGACTTGGGGTTTGGAGCCATGGCGGTGGGATTAGGCAAAAGCTCATGGGGTTGAGTTTGGGTTGGGGGTGCCTGAGGGCAGGGTTGGGCAGAGGATGGTCTGTGGAATTCTGAGGGAAAAGGCTGATTTTCATTTTTTTTTAATATTTATACTTATTTGTATACGTTTGTGGCATATTTGTCATTTTACAACAGCTTAAAGGTGTTTTTGGACAAAAACCATCCGTGAGGATGACAATCGCTAGTTTATGAAAGGTTGGGGATAGGAATGCCAAGAAACAATGGTTGGGGGTAGAAGGGTCAAGGGGGGAAAGGTCGAGAAAGGCAATCACAAATTACCCAATATTTTACTTATATCTAGAGAGGAAACTTGTATGAAATTAATTTTTGAAGTTATAGCTGATTTTGGACTCAAGTCTCATGCATATTCCTTTTTAAGACATTCCATGTAATTGAAGTTATTGATGTGACTTTATTTATGAAATCTTTGGTTGAATTAGTGATAGTGTTGAGTGGTCAGTATCATTCCCATTTTAAGCTCAATAAGATGTAACTATTTATTACTTCTACATTTTTAGCACAGTTGTCTACAGGAAAAATATTTATCTAGATGCTAGATGCTAGTAAACAAGTTTAAATGTACGACATGTTCAAAATACAAATGCAGATTTATCAGGCAATGCTTATTTTAGTTACAAAAAAACCTATATGCACCTGAAAGAATTTTATAAGGACTTCAAGGATTAAGAAAGCAATCATAATCTGATCGACCGTAACAAAGAGATCAGTCGAGTAGAAATTTAACGCGTGTCACAATCAGTGTGTAAAAGCATTTTATACTCGGGGGGTATCTCACTCCACCAGTTCATCTATATGTTAAATTCGGCGTAGAAGTATCCTGTGATCAAATGCTGCAAACATAATGCTGATTGCGTAATTTATTTATTTTTATTCTTTTTTAAACTGGAGGGGTACAGAGTGGTAGTCAAATGTAGATCTACTTCTTCAGATCGAGCATGCATCAAAAAATTGTACAAAAAAGAAGATTCCAAGTAAAATATCATCCATACATCCTAAAAATTTTCCCAACTTACATTATCCAAAAATAAAAAACAAAGCACTAAATACGAATTCAGCAATTTTCTTGCACGAAATAGAAGGGAAAATAGTAATGGTTGCATTAAATGAAATGTGTGTCGCTGAGATGCAATTAACTGACAAATGCAACACAATCAAATAAATAATCAAATCAAACATGCATCTAAAAATGGCAAAGAAAATAAGACTCAATTAAAATGTCCTCTGAACAGTAAGATCCCTATCCTGAATAATTTTCCCAACTTAACCTAATAATTCAGAACCAGCCATCCGATATAAGTTCAGCAATTTTCTTACACAGACAAATAGGGATAATTATACTGGTCAAATTAAATGAAATGCATGTCATTGAGACCCTATTGACCGACTCGCAACAACATCAAATCAATAATCAGAACCAAATTTTGCAGCAAACAAACAAATAATTAAGAACAGTGCAAAAACAATAATTACCCAGTAACGAAGCGAGAGAAATTCGGCAAGGGATTGAGTCGGTGAGCACCCAAGACTTATTTGCTTGGCGACGTTGATCTGGGCGGTTTCCGGGTCATGATTTTGAGCTGGATCCGACACACTAATAGCAAGTGCCAATTGAACTTGAAACTCCTCCTCGAAGAAATTAAAATTACTATCAGAATTAGAATGAGAATGAGAAACAGAATTCTCATTTTCCATTGAATCCGAAGCAGGTTGAGCCGAAATCGGGTGCGGGTCAGATGAAGGTGAAGATGGCAACGAAGATTGAGACGGCGTCGTTTGAGGGGACGGATCGAGTACGGCCGGTCTATCTTGGTGTTGATGATCCCCGATATGCAGTTTTCGCAGTAAATGTTTCACTTTCGACATATTCAACTCCACATCGATCGATCAACAAATCGATCTAAAACCTAATAACCCAATTATAATTTTTTTTCAAACTTAATTACGAATTTTCTGATTTCTGTATGGTGTGCTAACGTGCGAACCGGTGGGCGTAGAGAGAGAAAGGAATTTGGAGACGTGGGAGTTAACCTGCGCAATAGAGATTTTGGGGATTGAAGGGGAGAGATGGGTTAGACTATCTCTTCATCGTCAAGATACCTCTACTGTGAATAAATTAACAGCATCATGCTTCCCTCCAATTACAAGTTAATGGGTAGATTAATAATAATATAAAAAAATTATACGTAAAGATATTTTTTTATCAATTTTTGTCAGCTAAAAATTTTCCTCCAATTACAATTATCTTATTTAAATGGCTAGCCTTATTAATTAATTGATTTTAATATCATAATTATATGAAAGAAAAAAAATTAACAATAATGGGAATGAAAAAAATATAATCTTATAGTTTAATGGGATTTTTCTTATTACGAACACGAAAAATATAATGATAAATAGCAAATTATTGATGAAAAACGAATAAAAACAAAAGAATAAAATATATCCATTTACAAACCTTAGCGGTGATGAGATACGTCATCGTCGAGGCTAGAGAAATCTAATTTTGCATGCTAGCGGTGTGCCCGGATAAAAATAGCAGCGATGTGAGGTTTCGATGTGGCAACATAGTTGTAATAACATAAATAAGGGGGTGTTTGTTTGGAATTTTTTGGGGAAGAATTGATTTTTGAATAGTGATATGATGGGAAATGTGTGGTTGAAAAAGAAGAAAAATTATTTGTGTGATGTAAAATATTATTTTATTGAAAAATGTGTGGTTGAAAATGAGAATTGATTTACTATAGAATTTGAGAATTCCAAACAAACACCCCCTAAATAAATAAAAATGAACAAATGAGGTCTATTAAACATCATTATTTTGGTGGTGGATAAAATTGGTATTAACATAGGAAAAATACTTTATTTAAACTCTAATTTTGTGAGTAAAAATTTGAAAGAGTAATGCCAGTGTAAAGTACTGGTGTAGGTGGCACATGCATGACATTATGGCCCCGTTTGATGGTCGTTATAAAGAGAAATTATGGAAAAATAATGTTTTGAACAGTGAATTTTTTGAAGAACGTAAAGTTAAAAAGTAGGATAAATTTTGAATTTACGTGCATAATATTTTATTGTGTGAATGTGTAGTTCAAATGAGTATGATAAATAAAGAGTTGTTTTAATAGGAGTCAAACATGGGTTATACGATAGATTCACTTAAATGTAATATTACATTATTCATTTAATTGAACCTAGCAATTGCGGTCTGGTGTCCAAACACATCTAATGTTAGATAACATTATCCTTTTTGAAATCTTAACAAATAATGATAAATGTTCACGGTTGAATTCATTAATATTTGGTTTCTACTTATTATTTTATAAAAGATCAATCCTATTTAACATCATGGTGCTAAAATACCATTCAAGTATGGAAGCCCCAATTAAATGAATTCCACAACTTACATTAATTACTTATCATTTAATGACACTTACATGCCATATGAGGTGGTGTTATAGCACCACTGTGTTATATAGTATTGTTCATTATAATATTAGGAAATTAGCAAATAATGTCCCTATATTTCATTGTTATTATGGAAAATATCCATACATTTTTATTTTATTTTTGACATTTTCACCATTATTTTCACATTTCATTGAGCAAAATGTCATTTTAATTTATTTTCTCAATTAAAAATTGTGAAATGATGAATATATCATTCTAAATAATTGTAATTATAGTCCTAATTTTTTTAAAAGCGCAAATGAGTCTCAGATAAATTATTAAAAGTGTAATTAATACATAATGTCCATATCTTTCACAGTTATTGCGAAAAATGTCCATACATTTCTTTTTTATTTTTACACTTTCGCCCTTAATTACACATTTGATTGTGCAAACCATCATTTCCATCCATTTTCATCCAATTTCNATTGTGCAAACCATCATTTCCATCCATTTTCATCCAATTTCTTAATAAAGAATGTGAAATAATGAATATACCATCATATTTAAATAAAAAAATATTTTTTTAATTTCTAATTCTTTAATAATTTATTTGGGATTCGTTTGCACTTTTTTAAAAAATAATTTTTTTAATAATTTATTGGGGACTCATTTGCACTTTTTTAAAAAAATTTGTGACTCTATTTGCAATTAGTTCTTTAGATTTTTTATTTAGATAGAAGGGCATATTTGTCATTTAACAACTTTTTATTGAGAAATTGGATGAAAATTGATAAAAATGATGGTTTGCGCTATCAAATTTGTAATTAAGGTGAAAATGTCAAAAATATAAAAGGTATGGATTTTTTTTGCAATGATAGTGAAATGCATGGACATTATGTGCCAATTACCCTTTTAATAATTTATTTGAGACTCATTTGCACTTTTTAAAAAAAAATTGAGACTATGGTTGCAATTAGTTTCTTTTTCTTTTTCCTTTTGTTTTTAAAGGGAAGTGTATATTCGTAATGAAATGAGAAAATAAGGGTGTAGATGCCAAAAAAATGAAAGATAAAGACGTTTTCCACAATAACAGGGAAAGATGTGGACGTTATGTGCTAATTACCCTTGTTTGAAGATGTTATTTGACAAATGTTTTTTTCTCCGTATTCATTTTTAATTATACTTTCTTTTTAAATAAAAAATAATCATTTTCAAGTTTTCTCTACATTTTAACCACACATTAATTAAAAAATCACTCACACAAGCACTTATTCTAAATTATATTATTCATTTAAAATTATTTTATTCTTAAGATCATAATGATATGAAAAGAAAAGAAAATAAAATTAAAGGAAATAACGTGAATTAAAATTTTGATGATGAAAACATTTCCTCTCGCGTGGATGTCTCTTACCACAAACGTGACAAAAATAAAAATGGCATTTGATTTAACATGACAGCATATTAGTGAAAAACTCGCTCTTTAAGATACTCTTTATATTGTAAATTTACTCTTTTTAAGTGGTGATTCAAAAGCAGACACAACAAAATTTCTCCTTTTTTTCAGAAGAAGGCATAACGAAACTTAATTGATCAATAAATACTCGACTTTTTGTCAAATGAGATGTAGTTATTTGTGTAAATTGTCACCTATAGACCACGCTGATACGGGTTGGCCCAAGACACGATTGAAGTGCTTTACACATTTAACACGTCTTTGATAAGACAAAAAAATGTCAAGAAGTTCCCTCTCTAGCGAAACCATTACAGGAGGAAAGACAGATGGGATCATACGAAATTTCAAAATGTATTTTGAATATTCCTGGCAATTCACGGGTGATTGTTGCTATTTTTAAGGACAAGATTATAGCAGTAGATAATAGGCATCCTAGTATGGTACAACACGGCTTTTTATGTCGACCATTACATAGAATTTTCAACCTCTGGAGCGATGGCCGAACGGGGGGCAGGAACATAATAGAATTCATGCTGCTATCTAAATATTGCAGGACTCTTTCTTGTCTCATTTGGCTACTATCACAACCTTCTCCGGGACAAAGCACTCTTTAAGAGCCACCCCCCCACCCACACGTAAACAGCAATCATAGTTACTGGTAGGGTTCGATTTGATTCGGTTCGAGAAACATGAATATATCTAGTCATAAAGGGGATTCAGATACATTTTTGTTTTTGTTTTTGTTTTGCGGTTTTTTTTTTTTTTTTTCCCTGGAGAAAAAGGTTTTCATGGGGTGGGGTGGCGGGGGGAGAAGCAACCAGAAATTGCATGCGTCGAGACCATGATAGAAAGCAGGGAAATAGAAGCACTCCATAAATCTTGCGTCCTGTAAATCTGTGATTTTTAACATAATCAGTTACTGTCCTTGAGGTTAGAAAATCCACACAAGGGAGACACACTGTGTGAACACATGCTAATGAGCAACCAGAAGTTGCATCTGATGCAAACGCATCGACAAGTATCCCGAGATACGAAAATGTTGTATATAAACTCCTCAACTAAAAATTCTGTTAATCGCAGCTTAATTCCATATGGTCCTTGAGGTTGTAAAATACACTAACATACGCGTGAAGCCATGACCGCACACTAGCAATTCATTTTGCTCTTTACATTTATTATATGTACGTCAAATAACGCGAACAAACAGTAAAAAATTGGACATGTAACCAAATGTAACATAGCGCAAGTTATGGTTGTAACTTACCTGAACACTTTGGTATGTCCCAAACTGCAATAGAAGTGGGCACGCATCAAGGATCACACCGAGCCCTGTTGTTTTCATGATGGCCATTCATAGGAAGCATTCCAAAATCCTATTGTAACATCTTCGTTGGTGAACAGTCTCAAGCTGAACATCAAAAGCATACAAATCGAATCATGTAAAACGAGGATGCGAATAAGTGGATTGAATTTGTAACACCCCTACATCTAGATACCTAAATTTGGAAGTATTATCATTGAATTTTCTCTTAAAATCATTAAGTGAAAAACGATTTGATTTTTCTTTAACATGATAAACAGTCTTCATTTATGAAAGTAATATGTGCTATAATAAAATATAAGACAAATTAAATGTTTCCTTTATTTACAAAACGATCTCAATATTTAAATGTGATGATACTGAGTTTGTGTCGCTACAAGTCATCATCTTGAATCATCTCGTCTTCATCATCTGAAAGTGGGGAGGGACAATGTGGAATGAGCTAACGCTCAATAAAGTAGAGAATAAGAATGAAATTGAAGGTTTTTGGAAAGGATTCTTTCCTGTTGCATTTACAATGATATATATACAAGTTGATGGATGTATATTGTTACACAGTACAGAGGGAATATACTATCTAATCCTATAGAGTAATGCCAGCTGTCTAACAAACTATATGCCATTCCAAGGATTAAGGGATCTGTTCCTCTCACTAATTATGGCACAATTCCAACACCCCCTTTCAAGATGGAGTGTCTTTCCAACACTCCTAACTTGTCTCTAAGGAACAAAAATCTGGAATGACCAAGAGGTTTTGTTAATAGGTCTGTCGTCTGATCAGAAGAGGGAACGTAATGAATTTCTAATTCTTTATTCAGTACTTTATCTCTTACGAAATGAACATCCAACTCTATGTGTTTCGTCCTTGCATGATAAACCGGATTGGAAGCCAATGCTCCTGCACTTAAATTGTCACACCATATTTTAGGAACTACCTCCTGTGATATATTTACTTCTTTCAGCAAAGACGGGATCCAAGTGATCTCAGATGCACAGTGAGCTAGAGATTGGTATTCGGCTTCTGTACTAGACCTTGCAACAACATGCTACTTCTTTGAGCACCATGATATCAGGATATCACCAAGGTAAACGCAGTATCCAGCAGTAGAGCGTCTGTTGTCTGGGCATGAAGCCCAATCAGCATCAGCAAAGGCAGTTAAGTTTATTTCTTCACTTTTCTGAATTACTGAACCATAGTTGCGAGAACTCTGTAAGTACCGAAAGACTCTCTTAAGCGCCTTCCAGTGAGCTTCTGTGGGAGATTGAAGAAACTGGCTTAACTTATTCACAGAGAAAGCAATGTCTGGTTGTGTGTGTGTCAAGTACTGAAGTCCACCCACTGCACTTCTATAAGCTGTAGGATCACTCATCAGATTTCCTTCATTCTTTGAAATCTATTTTCCCAATACCATAGGAGCTATGCTTGATTTCAGATTTTCAAATTTGAACTTCTTGAGTAGATCAGTTAGATACCTCTTCTGAGTGAGGTATAGACCAGTTCTATCTCTGTGCACTTCAATCCCAGAAATTGGCTAAGGCTTCCCATATCTTTGAGGGCAAAACGTTCATTCAGGCTGTTAATGAACATCTGCAACTGCTGCTTGTCACTCCCTGTGACTATGATGTCGTCTACATAAACTAAGACAAACAGAATCTGTTTCTTATCAACTGAGAAATACAGAGAGTTATCTGCCGTGGATTGTTTGAACTTCCATTGCAAAAGTGTATCCCTCAATTTGTCATACCGGCTCTTGGGGCTTGCCTTAGTCCATATAGAGCTCTTTCCAGCTTACAAACAAAGTGTGGAGTGTTTTGTTGCACAAATCCTTGTGGTTGTTCTATGTAGACTGCCTCTTCCAACTTGCCATTTAGAAAGGCGTTATTAACATCAACTTGCCTAATATCCCAATCTTTAGACACGGCGATGGCAAGTATGATTTTTTGAGTTGATGACTTGATGACAAGACTAAAAGTTTATCTGAAATCCACTCCAGGTGTTTGCAAAAATCCCTTGGCCACCAGCCTCGCTTTATGCCTCTGTACTTTGCCTTCTGCATTACATTTGATTTTGAAAACCCATTTGCTGCCAATTACCTTCCTTCCAGGCTCTGGAGGTACTAGCTTCCATGTTTCATTCTTTAGTAGGGCATCATATTCATCTTGCATTGCCTTTTTCCAATTAGTACTCATCAGGGCACATTGACACTTTGTGGTTCAACCAGCTCCTCTGAATTCTGAGCAAAGTATAGCTTTGGTTTGAAAATTCCTGCCTTACTTCGGGTGACCATAGGATGGCCAACATTGTGTAAGCAATCCTGACTATTAGAATTCACATCANCCTTACTTCGGGTGACCATAGGATGGCCAACATTGTGTAAGCAATCCTGACTATTAGAATTCACATCACCATAGACAGCAACTGTGTTATTTCCATCTGATTCACCAGGTTCATCTGCCACTGTTTGATCAGCCTTGGGATCAGCCCCAATATTGCCAGCATTGCTTTCACTTACATCAGCTTCAAGACTCAGGTCCCTGCTGAAGGAACCTGTAACAGGAGAAAACCTTAGTTGAACTATATCGGCTGCAGGTGGTGAAGAAGATATGTGACTTAGCTTATTTTCAAAAGGAAGAGGACACAGGCTGATGGTGGTAGTGTTAGGTTGTACATATTTGTTAAGAAAACCAGACTGAAAAGGAAATTCTTCTTCATTAAACATAACAAAACGTGAGATATATATTCTACCTGAGGAGTTTAGACACTTATAGCCCTTGTGTAAGATGCTATAGCCAAGGAAGACACATCGTTGGGAATGAAAATCAAACTTGTGTTCCTGATATGGTCTAAGGCAGGGGTAGCAGGTGCAGCCGAAGGGTTTTAGTGTGGTGTAATCAAAAGTTTTCTTGTACAAGGTCTGATATGGTGAGTTGTGTTGGAGTATGGGAGTAGGTAAATGGTTAATTAGGTAAGTGGCTGCTGTGAAGGCTTCCCACCAGTAGTGAAGTGGCATGTGGGCTTGAGCTAGCAGTGTTAACCCAATTTCAGACACCTGCCTATGCTTCCTTTCTGCTATCCCATTCTGTGCAAACGTATAGGGCAAGAGTACCTTAGTTGATTGCCTGATTTTAAGGCTATTTGGTTAAAATTCCTATATTCACCACCCCAGTCCGATTGTAATGTTTTTATCTTTCTCTCAAATTTGGTTTCCACCATTTGTTTGAATTGAATGAAGGAACTTAAGGCTTCTGACTTTTGCTTC